CGCTCACGCTCAGCAATAGCTTTCCGCCTGTCCGCCTCGTAGGCGTCCACCTCCGGGCTGCGACTTCGCCTGGTAGCACGGCCACTGCTGCGATGAGATCGCTCACCTCTGGATCTGGGTCTCTCACGGTACATGTCGCGTTCGCTGGAATCGCGACCACGTCTGCGGCGCCGATCGCGGTCGGCCTCTTCTTCCTTCTCGCGGAGTCTCCTCACATATCGATCAAAGGTAGCGACGCGAGCGTCTTCCGATGTGACAGCCTGGAACGCGGGCGTATCCGCAAGGCGAGCCTTGACCTTGTCGTACGTGTCATCCAGGGTAATAGGGGGTTCCATACGCTTCATGTACGCCCGGAGATCATCAGCCGCCCTTCGCTGTTGGCGTTCAGATTGTCTCTCATCGTCGGATCTCTTCAGAGATCTCTTTTCCTTGGCCTGTTGCGTACACGTTAGTTTTTATCGAAACCTCATGTTGATTTTTCCAATCTATGACTCACGCGTTCGAAGAGAACCATCAAGATATCACGGTCAATGTTAGCAGTTCGTCGACTCTTCTTCATAACGGCATGGAATTCTTCGAACGTGGTCTGGGGAGTGATATCAAATCGCTCGTCCTATAGGGTATTAGCAGACTGGAAAAGGATAACGAGGCCAAGATCAACTTACGTCAATGACATCGTACACATCGTTCCTAGCTCCACGCATGGATTTCTCCTCTTCTTCGACGAGATCCCAGAAAAGTTCCTGGGGAGCTGAGCCACCTTGGCCAAGAATGGCCTTGTATCGGTCGTCGTTCTCGATGAGGGAGTAGATTTGGCGCCACTTCGTGCTGGCATTGATCTTGCCGTCTTTCCTGAGCTCAGTGAGGAGGGAGATGAAGCCATCACGAGCCTTACGCTCCTTGCGAAACTTCTTATTCTTTTGCTCCTGCTTAGAGTCGTTGAAAGCGCGCTCCAAAGCCTTCATGTGGTTTTGGAACGCAATCAGAATGTCAAACTTGCTCAGGGTCTTGTACTTCTCATCATTTTGGAAGGGCGTCGTGGATGAAATAAGGCTGTGCGCATCGGACCAGCGCGTGTAGGGCTCCAGGTTGAGCTTCGGAAGGAGGTCAATGAGCCCGTCCATGGCTGTCTTGCGCATAGTGGCCTGGTTCTCCATGTGGTTCTTCTTGAGGTCAACTCTGTACTCCTCAAAGAGTTGACGACGCTCGGCCTCGTTATCGGTGGACCTAAAGATGGTCTCGCCCTCGATCATGGGGCGCGCAGTCTTCCATCGCGTGTAGTGCTTGATCTCCGGATGGCGCTTAAGCATAGTCTCGAAGTCAGTACGCAACTTGGTCAGTCTCTCCTTTGCGCGCTCTTTGTCTTGGACAATCATGTCATGGCAGTACTTCTCGAAAGCTGCTTTACGATCCTTGGGGTCCTTGATAGCCCTGTACTGAGGGTCCTTTGCAATGGTTCGCAGGGTCTGCTCCCAGGTCCAGTCCGTCTGAACGCCGCTGCGTTTGAGGAGCTTGGTGAAGGCGGCCTCTGCCTCTTCCTGCGTGGCGAATTCGGGCTCGTTACTTGCGGGCACGAAGGCCTTGGCCGTCGCGTCGTTGCCGAATGTCAGCTGGCGCGACTCGTGGAAGGTATCGCGGTGGTCGCGGTGGTCGCGGTAGGAATCGTAACGGTCATTGTTGTACCTGTCAGAAGGCGCTCCCCGATCGTATGGTGCAGCCCTATCAGCCCTATTCTTGTTAGTTGGTAGTTGGCACTGGGGCAAGATATGTACATACGCAGGCGTACTGGGGCCGCTGTTGGCACCCAAAGCCTTCTTGTAGGCCTCGGGCATCTCCCAGGAGCTCGACTTCGTCTCGGTGTTATACCAGTACTTGCGACCGCCTTCCGCAGTGTACTCCTTCCATGGCTGATTCGCAAGTGCTCTCTGTGACCAATTAGCAGCTAATCCTACTTATCCGGGGTAGTGCTCTTACTTCAGCCGGAGACATCATATCCTCGGGCTTAGTCCATTGCGTAACCTTAGTGGCCGCATTGTAGTAGTAGGCTCGGCCATCTGGCGTGCGATGCTCCTGCCACGCCGGAGGCTGGCCGTACGGGCTGCCGGATCCGTTCATGATGATGATGATGCCGCCTATCTATTGGAGATCTTGTAGATGTCTAGATGGACTCGATTTGTTTGTCAGTTGATTATAAGTGAAGCGGCGATGCGTGGACGTTTTGTACGGCGAGTCAACGTGGAGGATCGAGCAGGTCGTCGCGCGGAGGGGAACGCGAACAGATGCTACGAAAGTTTTGCGACCGACGGAATGAGCAATTTGGCGCTTAGTGCACGGACCGGGGTAGCTCGGTGGTCCCGCTCTCCAGTCTAACTTCAATCCGAACTTAAGTAAGCCAGCTGGCAGCCAGGGGAAAGCTCCCACACTGTGTAAGAGACACTCAACTTCTCACTGTCCTACATGCAACTCAACTCATTGGACTTCTCACCGAACCTCTCTCGAACTCCATGTACTTTCTCAGACTGATAAACACTTATTTACCATACTTCTTTCTTTCTCACGGAGCAAAGCCTCAGGTTCAAGATCTCCTCTGGGAAGGAACGTCGCCAGCTCGCTAAGCGTTTGGTATAAGTTCCCTCGATTTGGCAAACAGAAGGACACCGTTGTGAAACTGCCCTTGGTGTCTTCTATTCATCCTGTATATATGGATGGTTGAGATGAGCTTTCATACTTGATGCCACAAACATAACCCAACATGGCTATAGACGATCAGATTCGGGAGCCCGCCGGGGTGGCCGAGTTCATCGAAAATGCGTTTCTCACGTATTTCATCCCCGAAGCAACAAATCTCGACCTCGAGAAAGCGTTTCAAGGCGTCGACGACACTAAAGCGCTCTTTGATTCTATCAAGCGGAGGGACACACTATTTTTCGGTATCTCTTCAACCATCCCGTTTTCATATCTGCACCATCTAATATCTACCAGATGAGACGGTTGACGTGCTACTCGTGCTGAGAGCCCCTCTCATGGACGAAAAGGCACTACGATCACACTTTAGCCGCTTGGTCGTCTCAGTAGAGGCCCAAATCGTCAACAGCCACGCTTCGGATAGGGAGAAGCCATCGACGGACATCATCTTCCAGGGAACTGTTGAGGATACCTCGGATCCATTCATCGTCGTTGACGAACCCGAAGAGGAAGACTCCGCCTCAGACTCCAACGAAAAGGACGAGAATGCCGTCGCTCCTATAGATAGGCGAAAGAGGGAACCACACATCTACGCCGTCTGGAGGCTCCCTGTCTTCCTCGCGCGGCCACGCATCCGCCTGCAAGGCCCCTTTGCGACCTTCACCGCCTCAGCCGGCCTTAGACCGGCCTCTGCGGCGGGCTCTGGCTCGGCCACCCCTCTCTCGCCAAACTTCCGCATAAACGGCGGTGCCGGGTACCTCCAGTCCGGCATGCCCTCGGGCCTGAACCTCCTCGAACCCTTCACCAATGATCCGGGCCTCGGCGGTGTAGTCCCACGTCTCTCCGCCCTCCGCGTCTCCCGCGTTGCCCCCGTAACCCAAGCCAAAGACACATCTCGGCCTTTGCGCTGCCTCTCCCAGCTTCGGACACGCATCTTCCCCGCCGTGCACACCCGAGTCCGCTTCTCCCGTCCAAACACCATGCCCACCTCGCCGGCCCTCATCGCCCTCTTAGAGGTGGACTTCACCCAATACTTCGACTGCCCCATCGAGCTCACCAGCATAGCCCTCTCCGTCGCCGATGGCGGTGTCGTAGACGACCTGAGCTCCCCGGCCGGCCTCACATTACCCATGACCTGCGTATCTCACGACCACGTCACGTTTCTCTACCGCCTGTCGCCGCAACAGCTCGACCTCCCCTCCAAGAACCCCAACCGCGATCTCGACATCCACATCGAAGCCGTCGTGCAGAGGAATCCCGGCATCTGCTGCCCGCGTCTGAGCATGACCTGGACCACCACCCTCGACTTTACCCTCCCCGTCAACCCAGGCTTCAACGCGGCAATGCAGCCAATGCAGCCCATCCAACGCTCCCACCGCCCCTCGCAGCTCTCCATCTCCGGCATCGAGGCAGCCCAGTCCCTCGTCGCCCCGGCCGTCATGCGCCCGGACTCCCTCCCCGCGCTCGAGGCCGCCACGCGCACCGTCGAGGCGCCCCTCCCGGAACTGGGCATCACCATGACCTTCTGCGGCCCCACGGAGCCCATCTACGCGGGCGAGGAGTTCTCCTGGACAGTCTACGTCGTCAACCGCAGCGTCGAAAAGGTCAACCCGGCCGTGACGCCGCGCAAGCTCGCTCTCGTGGCGCTTTCGAAACGTCGGCGTAACGAGGTCCGGCTCATGCGACCCCCCTCGACGAGCGGGAAAGGTAAGACAGCCGCGGACGCAAAGGAGCTCGCGGATGCGGTGCTGGACGAGAATGTTCTGCATGCCATGCAGCGCAACTCAGTGGTCGATGCCACCGAGGTCGTTTGCCTTACTGCCGACACGAGAGTCGGACCGCTTGCACCTGGGGCGTGTCACGTCGTGGAACTCAGGTTCCTGCCCCTGAAAGAGGGCCTCGTCAACATCGAAGCCGTCAGGGTGATCGACTTGAGCTCGCAGGAGCACGTGGACGTCAGAGAACTTCCCATCATGTTTGTAGAAAAGCGACCAGTGACAGAGGTATCGGTAGCTGCAGTGACCGAGGAGCAAAATGAGGATGAGCAGAAGACGGACGAGTGAGTGCAATGAGTGTCTGGGTGCTTATAGATAGCACTTCGCTCTCTAAACCCCTAATATATTCTCACCAAAAGACCTTCAAGAACGATGCAAACCCAGGTGCAAACCCCTTGGCTCCAAAGATGCTATGCTATGCCGTGTTCATCAAGTGTATTCCAAGCGTCCCATTCCATGATCCCAAACAGTTCAAACCCTTGGGTATCCGTATGCTTGAAAGTCCATACACGCCATATCAATGCAGCCCACAAAATATCATTAAAAGTCGTCAAAGTCGTCTTCCCACCCAAGTCGTGCGTAAATCGACTTTGGTTTCTCTTCCTCTGGTGGTGGTGGAGGCGGCGCAAGTGATGATCTGCGCATCGGAGTTGCCGCCACCTCGTCTCCCAGCACGTCCACCGTCCGTTGTTTACATGGTGTAGCCGGCAGGCCAATGTCTGGCGATGGTGACCGCATAGGCTCAAATCTCGACCTGATCACACTTCCCGGCACGCTTGGATGCTGAGCTTTCGCAGGCTTCCTTGCCATCAAGGGCGACGAAGGCGGAATTCCGGCCTCGTGCCCTCCACGCTTGATAGGTGTGGCCTGTATAGCAGATGATGGAGTACTGCCCATTATATCGATATGGCCCCTCCGTGGTCCCGTAGAGGGAACTCTCGATGCGCTGGATGGCGGAATACTCGACATCGGGATGAACAAATTATTTACGCCCTGTGACTCTGTGCTCAAGGCATCGCGGAAGCGATGTGTAGCAGGTGTGACCTTGACCTGTACCGATTCAAATAGTGGATGTCGAGTCGGCGGTTTCTTAGACTCTGCGCCAGGGATTAGCAAATTACCTCCAAAAACTTGAGGTATAAAACTTACTCTTAATCGAAGAAAGGCCCCCGGAAACCCGCTTCGCCGCATCCTCAACGATGGCCTTGCCCGCTAGGTCACGATTAGGTTTCCGAATGGCGGTGATGGCATCCTTCAACTCGGCTTCCACCAGAGCCTTCTTCTGTGCCTTGACGTCTTGGACCTTGACGTCATCCAGGGCCGTCATGCTTTGACTCCTGGAAAGTAGACCCGTCCGGTCCCTGGGCGAATTGCGATCGAGCTCGCTGTTTTCACGCTTGAAGCCGGGAATATTGGCCGAGGTTGCAGATCTCAACAACGCAATGGCGTTACCGGGACCTCTGGAAATACTGCGCCGCGACTGCTCCTTGAATAAGGCCTTTTCTATGTTGTTCTTCGATGAAGGCTTGACAGGACGCTTCGCAGCAGCTCCCGGCTTCGTGCTGGGCTTAGTCGAAGAAGGCTTGGCTTTGGGCATTGGCGGAGCAATGATGACGGGTCCTCCAAGTTTACGGTTGATAGAATCGCAGATCTCAGGCAACCGAGCAGCGAAGCTAGTGATGTCAGCTAAGTAAGCCTATGTGATAAGTGCAAACTTACAAAGGCATAATGATGTCAGTACAGAAGTCCTTTAGGGGGTCTGCAGACGCCCGCAACGCTGGATCCCCGGCGTTCGCCGCAGTGACTTGAGAACCCTCTAAGAGTCTCAACTCATCAGAAGCAGTGGACTGCCAAATGGTGAGCCGATCAGCGTGAACGTCTATCAAGACAGGGAAGTTGTGTTTGCTGCGTTTCTTCGGCTGTACTTCTGCTGCCTTCTCGCCATCCCCCTCGCCTGACAGACCAGGTAATTGGCTCTCTCCTTCTGCCTCGGCTGTGCGCAGAGGCTCCAGGGCCAGGATTTCCAAAATCAATATCATTTGTAATTGCGTCTCGCGGGTCCTCAGCAGGGAAACATGGGACTTGATCTGTGCCGGTGTGACGGCCATGTCCTCGTCGCTGATTTCCGGCTTGTTCGAGCTCCACCAGGCGCGCACATGCTCGTCTTCACCAGAGTACATGCCGTCCTTGCCCAACTTTATTTTCTTGGTCTTCCTTCGCTTCAACTTGCCACCTTCGTCGGAACTATCAATGTGTGTCTTCATTTTCGAAATTAGATCCGGTATCGCTTCGCGGTACTTTTTGTCGATTTGGACTGTTGTCATGACAAGACTCTTCAGAAACTCTATGAGGTCATTCATATCCATCGTGCCGTCGCAATCGAGATGGAACGCGGCGCGGGCTCGAGATAGCGGTCCCTTTGCAAAGTACGCAAGAGATCCCTGTATCTCCATGTCAGCTGAAGCTTCTTTACCGCAGGGCAGGGCAGAATGATAAACTAACCATTGACTTGTAAAGTGCCTCGGTATATTGTGTCCTGATGGTGTCCATGATGTCGCCAGCAGTCTGCTGGGTAGTAGGCTCGGGAACGGGCTGTGGCGTCGGTTCGACTGCGTCCAGATGTGTTTGAATCCACTCGGTAGGCTCAGGCTTCGGCTCTACCGTCTGGGCCAGTCCGCTTGGCGTTTGCGGTCGTGAGAAGTCGTCGTCAGACCTCGTCCGCTTCTCCGCTCTTGTCTCGTCGAATGTTGACACCGATTGCGAGCGGCCTCTCTTCCTCACAATAGACTGCTGCAGCGCCTCAATCGCCAGTCTCTTCTCCTTGTGTCCTCTGTGCAAGGCGGGCGTTGTCAATGGCATGGTCTGGCCTTGCTTAGATTCCCTTGCTTCTTCTGCAAGCCGCATGCGTGCGACATGCTTCCCGACCACCGTTGCCTTCTCGGACAAGGCCAGTAGGTCCACCCAAGGTCCTAGTTTACAGACGGTATAGAGGTTGGTTCCAAAGGCTGTAGCACGTTCGAGCGCGTAGATTGACTTGGAAGCTTCGTTGCGCGCAAGGAGCAGGCTCGGTCTCTCGGCGACCCGATCTTCGAGGTCAAGGATCTTGACTAGGGACTCGTAAAGGCGGCTAGAAGGAAGATCGCCGTGGGGTGAAAAGAGGTCGAGGCTCGACAGCGGGAGGTCTTCTCGGGGGATCAGCATGAGCGGCTGCAGCGTGCATGGCTTCGTGACTGTGCTGGTAGGATGCACCTAGGTAACGCGTCAGCTATTGAAGGACATTGCCTGGCGCGCTGAGGGACCTACCTTGAGAACAATCGCAGCCTTCAGCAAGTCCTCCATGGCATGGGAGATGCTGCGCTTCCTCTGCGCCGTCGTAGGCGGCGGCAATTCATGTTTGGAGTTCAGAGATCCATCAGAGCTTGGCGTAAGGATTCCCGATCTTTGACGCGACGCGTCTGAGGGCGGGAACAGCCTGGAGGAAGACATAGATTCATATGGAGAGGAAGTGGTGAATCGAACTTGAAAATACAGACTGGTCCTCAAGAAACATGAATTTCAAGTCCAGTGCCTATCCCACGTACAAATAACGGGTGGAGGGGTGAGTAAAATTGCGGGCGACACTTTAAGTGACATGGGTTGAGCGACGGAGCGCGACAAAGTGATTTGGAGCTCGGAATGATCGAATGGCGTCACGCGTCAGTGATTTAGCGCACCGTCCAGCGTGTTGTGGTGGCCCAGACGCCCGGGCCCGGGGTACTTCGGAGGTTCCACTTTATCTTCAACGTCAACGGGAGCCCTAACCTCCGGCGCCATTGGCAGGCTCCGGGTCGACTTCACGGAGATGGGGCTCCTTTGGTAGGTATCAGTCAAGCTCATTCTTTTGTAGTAGTTTATCTTGGTGCTATGATACTATATCATATGAATTGGATTCTAAAGTGTTTGGCGCAGGCAGTATTCGAACCGGCCTTCTCGTTGCGCGTAGGCTTATGTTTCGTTTGAATAGCTCCATGATAATCACCAAGCACTTCGATGAGACCAAACTACCCCATTCAGTTGCTCTCAAAGTTCTAATTCAGCGCATGTATATAAATCAACGCGCCTATTGTGGCTTTGGTCATAAGAGGGTGTCGTCTCCACAACGGCCATCACTCTCAAGTGCTGTCTAGCGACTGAAATTTACTTCTCTTGGGTCCCGATTACTTCAAGCCGGTTGATTCTTGATTAAGCCCCAAGAACAATCTGGTATTCATTGAAACCCTGAATCGCCCTGCTCATCGACCTTGAATCTGCATGGCAGACTATTCAGTCGGAACAGCCATATCGAAAAGCCTTGAGGCAACGGACCTTTTTCTGAAAACGCCATGCTTCAGAGGCATATTCATCATATTTCGTTAACATCGTCTAGTTGAACACGAAGTGATTTGCAGATAGGAAACACTTGACGCAGACCAGCCTCAGCTATGATTCCCAAAAGAAACTCAGCACTTCTGAAGTTCTGCCTGATAACCCAAGTCTGACTGATTTGGCCTCGCTTGGCTGGCCCCCAGATTGGCCTCATTCAAATTGGCCTCATTCGAGTCCCCAGAAATTTGGCCTCATCAGCGCCGCAGCCTTCACCCATGGCTACAACCTCTCATCCATCTATAAAATTCCCACATCTTGCCTTTCAATTGTCTGTTTCTTCTTTTCTTCTCCAGCTCTCTTAGCCACAAGGCTATGATCAAGTGTAGTATCTGTTCTTCCCAGTCTAACCAGCTGGGCAAGCATCCCCACGGGGATCGCGAGCCTCTTTTTCAACGGTTGACACAATTTTTATAATCTCGGGAAGACGAGCCTCTGTGTCTTCTCACTCTCCTGAGGCTTGCGGCGTTGCTCGCTCTTCTTTATCGCGGCGCTACGTTTCGGCGTGGCTCTCCGCGGGAAAGGAGGCATGGGTTTCATCGAGGGAGAGAGGTTACACATGTCGGCTTCCCACCGTGTCCCTGGTATTACACTGCCTCCAGGCGACGCGAAAGGAATATTGATTCTGTCTTATTTTTCCCTTGTTCCAACTTCCTCATTGCGGATATCTCTGGCTTGTCCAGCGGCGCGAAGAGGATATCAACACACGATGTTAAGACCGCTGCCTTATGGTTCGTGTCTAGCTTGAAGCCGTCGATCATATGAAGCTCACAGTAGTCATAGCAAATCTTAGTCATTACTCCAGTAGAACCGATGCCGACCAACAAGTTACTCCTAGTATCCAACCCCAATAAACATCACTCACGGCAAAGTTTCCGCCCCTCATCGTCTATAGAAGTAAATCCATCCAAGCAAACATGAGTTGAACTCAGCAAGAAAGGACTGCTACCTTAATTCATCCGTTCCTCGGCCGAGTCTCGCTGATATAGATTTATCTCCGCATACTCATAGACAACTTGCCTGGTTCCACTCCGCATAGGTCCATCTTCAAACAAACTGCAATTAGGAGGCCAACATCTCCTACGTCCATGCTCATCACGAATGGAAACTAAAGGCGCGAATAGAAGAAGAAACTTGTTGAATGATCCGCTCAAGCGCCGAAACGCCCAGATCCTCCACTTACCTGCTCCTCCAAACCCTCCGGCTCTGAATCAAGCTCTGCTTCCTCGGTATCAGAATAATCGGGGTCTCACGACCAAACACCCACCTCTCTCAAGCCTCGGCGTTTGATTCTCAGAAAGCGGGCTGCTTCTTGGACCATCCTTTTCTTCAAACACTGAAACGGAGAGCAGAAGAGATGTTGAGTAAGAGGCAAATCATCCCACTCGCATCGCCTCCCGTCGGAAAGGTTCGAACAAGTGATGGGAGTTGTCTCACAGAGGAAGGGGACGAAGACCCAAGGCTGAACCGTGTGTAGATAGAGAAAAAAAAAAAAGGAGCTCGGTTCTCTCTCTGCGCCCCCAGAATGCGGAGGAGGGCCAAGAATAGGCAAAGACACTGCCAAAACACCCGCTCAGACTTTGACACATGCACCAGCGGGAAATCACGAAGAGGAACCCACTTTCGGCCGGCATCTCGCTTCATAGAACGTTGGTCTCCCGGGCTCCCGTTGCCCGCCCGGCGACTTTGCCCCGTATGAGGAAGGGTGAAAGAGGGTTGAGAGAGAGAAAGAGTGTGTGTGGCGATGATGGTTTCTTCTGCCCTCAAGACTTACATGCTAATGCCAGTCTCTTTTGCGTGTTTGCCTTGCCTCCATAAGAGAATCGCCGCCATCTCTCATCCCTCATCCTAGCTTGAAGCTGAAGAGGATTGCTCGATGAACAGCTCTCCATATTCAAACACGCCTAGCTTATAGTTGCCTCGTTATCGCGAACCTCGACAGGCTCAGTGAGGACATTTTCTCAAACAGAATCCAAAGAAAAGGGCAAAGCCCTCACAGGCATGCCACGAGTCGCTGGAAACCCTCCCTCCCAACTCTATAACAGCGCACGTCCAATACGCAAGCGCGCGGACTGCTGAGAGATGGAGAATCTTGTAGGCAGGGAGGAAAAAGATCAGCCCGATTTCTTCCTATTCGCACACACGTTAAAAGAGGTCTTTACTATCCTTGTCTTGTTCCCCTTTTACCAAACTCAACTCAACTACACCCGCTCCCGTTCCACATACTCTTCAGCATCCAAGTCATGGCAGACCTGGGAAGTACCCTGTGTGTTTGCATATCCTAAGTCACACACATGCAGTCCCTCCCCCATGACGGGCTTTTATTGTGACATGAAGCAACGTTTACTGGGCAGGCGGGGGTGGCTCTACGAAACGTCCTAAGGGGCCAAGTCCCCGATATAGCTTTGGACTTCAAACGAAACTCAGCTTTTTGCGTTCTTGTCTGCAAGATCTCACGATGCCAGCATAACCTTAAGCCACATAGGCGCGGGAGAGTTTATCTGGTTTCAACCTGCAAAGAAAGATAGTCCTCGGCTGAACAATTCTGGCATATATCCGAAGCCGGGCGTAACGCAAACAAACGACCTGATTCCCGGCAACATCACGACCCGAGTGGGTAGCAGAAGGGCATGTTGAACAGCTGACGGGATCCGACGTCACATCAATCATCCATCGTCCTTCCTTTCCGTGATCCTACCATAAACTCACATGCAGCCATAGATGTTTTGCTGTCATCTACGCAAAGACTTCTTGCGCAATCCCAGATCATTGCCACGGATCGTTGGGACGATGTCAGAACCCTGGTGTGTGCGGCTGTGTGCCGCAGGATATGAAACAGCCCTCAGGGACTTGACTTCACGTCGAGACCTTCGTTTCGAACCGGTAGGTAACAGCTTTTGCCCTCTTTTCGTCCCTTTCTTTCTTCTTCTTCTTCTTTTGAATTTCTTTCCTTTGATGGAGTCTGTCCGAAGTCAGACTGACACAAAAGCATCATGGACCCAGGATGATCCGGGCTTGTAGACGCCATAGAGTGAGCAGTGCTCCCCAAAAAAAAGACTCTGTGCAACAAAGGTTTTTTTTTTCAGATGACAATGGCTGGCTGGTTGGGGCGGAGTCTAAGCCATCCGTCATGCAGCCTTAAGCTTGTCGTATATCGTAGGTTCTTGTTTTGGATGAAGGTAAATCTAGCCAGAGGTCTCCCGGAGGCGTCTTACACCGTGGCATGGACAAGCATGCTCTCACCTGTTTGGTACTCAGCCTATAGAAGGTATTTCCTTATGGTTTCTGAAGCCCGATCATTGCGGGCGTCGTTGGGACAATGATATTGATCTTAATATACCCCCCGTGCATCGGATCACTGTAATCCGAATTAGAATTTCTTCAGTCTTGACAAGAATTCAAAGGCCAGGAGCTGAAGCTCTTGCTTGTGACCATTAGCTTAATTAATACAAGGTCAGTAGTCCAAGCTGAGCTCGTTTCCTACAGGCATCAACCGGTACTTTGGCCTCACTGACTACTCTCCTCTGATCACCGATGGGCCTCGGAAAAAGCCGGACTTGACTCTGACATACGCTCGACAGTGATCCAGGGGTGAAGAATTCGCGGAGATCCGCGATGCCATATTCTAGTTGCCGTGCCAAGAAAAAAACGAAGCCTCATCTGGGGTCCTCAAGGAAGCGATTATATTCTCGAGGATAATCCTGCTTGGGCAGTTACTTCATAGCCTCATCTGAAGACTTGGCTAAAGTCTGCTCAAGGGCCATCTATGTATTCAGATCGAATTTTGGGTTTCGTCCGCATCGAGATGTTCGATGATTAAGCACAATCGACGAGGAACCACATATTGGCATCTGGCCTACATGAATTGGAAGGATCTTGCGTCTTCTCAACCCTTTACATTTCGGCCGGGGTCTCAACGACCCGAAGGCACCCTCTTCCAAGACAGGACATCATCTGCAGCCGAGCACTGGGCAGCGGGATCACGTACAGTCTCTGCTTGTGTCGAGGGACATACTTACACTCGAGACCACCGATGGAGGGCATGTGCCAGCATCCTCCTTGGAGACAAGCACACATAGCTGCTTGACAGCGTGGCACCCGGAAACATACGGACGAAAGGCCAGCGAATAGAATTATTTAGCCCTTGTGTGCGGACAGTCAGATGAGAACAATCTTACCGTCATGTTCGTTTGTGCTTATTATAACACACGATTAGCTTGCTGCGGTCTACATGGTGCTTGGCCTTCTAGTTGCATCGTTGTTCATCATCAGCAAAGAAGAGAGAGGCTTGATTAGCAACCGCCGTGATCATCCCTTTCCGAGTCAGCGACGGGCAAGACGATTCATCGGCACCAGAGCACTAGGCATCCGTACTGCCAGACATTTTTGCCGAGTCAGACAAACTCTTGAGCCCAGATGCCTGCTGCAGAAGTGCGCCTGAGACATTACATCTCACATGTAGAACCCGCCCACGTTAGATCGGCCGCCTCCCCGAGCGCCTACTCCCCCCAGCTCGCAGGACACGGGAGTTCTATCAGATCCAGACGAAAAGAGACATGGCTGGCATATATTTTTTGTTTGAGACAAGCTGCAACCAGGTCTCTCACCGGCGGTGAAGGACGTTGCAGGGCGGCAAGCATTGACCAGTCGATCGCTGTGCGCATACTAGCTGGCTGAGCTTCCGGCCGTTGGAGGATGATAAAAGCACCGAGACGAAAATAGTATGTGCCGTTCAATTATGTAAGTTGAATAGCTAGCCTTCGAGCGCTTGAGCACATATCATCGTGCGGTGACTTGGGAATGGCAACTGGCAGGCGTACCGTCACCGCTTGGAAGCATCGTGGACCGAAGGCTGAAAGAGAACAGTCGTTCACTCTCCAAGGCACGTGGACAGATCGGAAACGCCGGATCTGCCGCCACGCCGGCGATGGCCTCGGGACAATCATCGTCGACCACGCGGACGGCCCGTGATAATCGAACTCAAGAGAACAATCACAGAAAGGCGAGAGTCCGTGAGTTGCGCCGTTGCGAGTGCCGTTGCTGCACGTGCCTTTTGCGATCAATGAGACCCAGCCCGGGGGTTCGTATTCAAGATCGAGCCGTCGTCGAACACTGGAAAAAGAAGCGGTGAACAGTGATGCGTGTTTCTAGGCTCTTTAGAGTTGAGACAGAGTTGCCCGTCAATGGCGTCGGCGATGGGAAGAATGGGTTGTCACCTCATCATTGTCTTTGATGGACGCGTTCGGTAGGTATTCCACGAGGCCTATGCTACAGGGATATCCTGGTTATTTCTCGAGCAGATCGTCTTAGAACTAACACGGCGCCGAAAATAGGGTTTGGGGGAGGTTTTGCTGAACCCACACGTGTTTCTCAATCGCGTTGTGAGCCCTGGCAGGAATAGACGATGATATCTGGATCCTCAATCATTTCCCTGCGTCATGCAGATCTCAAAATGAGGCTCGATGGAATCTGAGCTTGACTAGAGAACGCATATCCGTAGATGCATTGCGCCTCCTGCAAGGCCTGTATTGCTGCAAGTCATTGTGTTGCGCCGGAAGAGGGGTCAAGAGGGGTCACAGCGCTGGTCTAAACTGCAACACAGCAAACCGAAGCCTTTTAGAATCATCTATTATCCGCGGCCAAATTTTTGGTATCTCGGCACGCCCGGTCTTGTGTCGTCAAACTCGTGATGGGTCAGTAGTATTAGGCGCAGCGATCCGTCGGACAGTAAAACCAAGATATGTCCGGTCCCTTGCAGTAACTCTGCAGCATCTCCCCTTCCTAGCAGGGCCGGACCACGATGACGACCAGGTGAGGGGAGAACTAACGCAGGGAGAAAGCAAATAAGACGAAGTTAGAGACGACGACAACGAATCGCGCCCCGGTGAAAGAGCGGTGAATTGGTGTTCCTGCACACCATCATTGTTGGGTTATCCACCCTCCAAGCCGCAAAGTGGTCAGCCGATGGCCACAAAGTCCGCTAAAGACGGGCTCCAAGGCGCTGTTCCTGGTACCTGGCAGGTTCTGGAGCTGGTGCGGTTGTTGGTAGCCTAGTGCTGATATCGAGTAGCGGGCCAGTTGTTAGTGCGGTTTGAAGATGGCGTCAAGAACTCCTTATATTGACGAGGATCGGTCGACAAACTAACAGCCGCCGGCCTCCGAGTCTCCAAATCCTTCAGCCTATACGGCGTGGCTGTGGATCCGAAAGCTCCAGGTTCTGATGGTTCAAGGGTACTCCATACTCCAGCGCGGCGAGCGACCGCTACGGATCTTGGAACCCCACAGGGCAGAGGCTGATCAAGTCAAGCAGCGTCGATCCAAGCATGGATGAGGCCTGACGTGACGGTTTGCTGAGAGAGCTTCTCGGCCATTGATGGACGGTGGTTGGCGCTTGGCGCTTGGCTGATGAAAGACGTGGAAGAGGATAACAGCGCAACGGCCTTTTGTCTGCAGTGACAGTTGTCACGTATGCGTCTGGCGGCAGCCGACATGCCTGGGTCTGGCCTGGATAACCACCCAAAAGTCCATCATTCATATGCCTGGACCGTTGGGCCCTCGTGCGCAGTAGGCTGCCCTGGAAAACCGCAAGAGATATTCGGGCACCCTTTGGGCAGCATCGGCATGCCGCCCTCCAGCATCGTGGTCTCGACCAGTCTGTTTCCCTCGACATGAAAGCGCGGCTTGACATCGTCCGTACCGATTTTCCCGGCATACTGGACATCGAAATTTCACAGGGCTCGGGCGGAAAAGGCTGGCATTCCATGTGTGACACACGGCGACTAAGAAGGCATAATGCCTGTTTCTTCACTAGCCTGCGCGTTCCTCGATCACTGCGAGAGTGTCCGGATGAAACCTGACAACGAAGAGGGGCACGAGAGGGTCATCAAAGAGGGGCGGTTTTTGATGGCGTTTATGGTTTATCGATAAAAAAGGCTGACGGGGTTGTTAACTACTTTGTCGCGGGAGGAGGGGTAGATTCCTTGGCTGGTGTGGGCGAGGTAACACCAGGCTCGAAGGAGGCCACTGACGTTGAATGTATTCGAAACTTGTTCTGATGGAGTCCAGACTTGGCCTGGGTCGGGTTGAAAATATCCCGCTGTCAAACGAACGAACCACGCTGAAATCAGTTCGACCTGCAGAACTGGAACGTATCGTCGGGTTTGACGGACTGCGATAACTCGGCGCGGAATAAGCCTCGGATTCGATACCCGCTGAACGCAGGAGGGGTAGAAAATGCCACCAGAAGCTCCTCCAATCCTGCAGTCATCAGGATGCGGTCTTAGCGAACTGAGGGCCATCAACGGCGGCAACTGCGTGACGCGCGCTAGGCAAGCGGTGAAGTTCAAGCTGAAGTATAAGCGGCATGGCCCGCGAACACCAGGAACGCTAGAATTTGAATAGTTTCGGCCGAAGGTCCCAAGATACACTTAGTCTTGTTCCAGCAATGACCTTGACTGCCTGACGATCATAGCTCAGTGCCATTCACCGTACCCAACGGGTCTGCTTTTGACGGGTTTGTAACGCTCCTCTTGGTAAAGGACATCGGAGCGCCACCTCAAGAACCCCAGGGCTCAAGGTGCAAGTAGGTATCCGTTAAATCGTTGCATCAGCGTCGACACCACCCTGTTGCCGCCGGGCGGCTCGAACTGGAGAGGATAGGAATGACTACCCACCCATCACACTGGTGACTTATCTGCTAGTGTGGCGTTTGCGGGGCACTTTGCATGCGACGCACCTCACTACCCCATTCAGAGTGGTGGCTTCTCTCCTGACAGTGCATGGCTTGATGAATATCATCACCTGGCCCTCCATCTTCAGTTGTATGTGTGTGTGCTAATGTATGATAGTCCGGTGTCAAAGAGTGGGCTTGTTTCTCCCGGGCTCGTCAACATCGCGAGCGCCCACTTATCGCAAGGGGGACGTCGAGAGAAGGAACAGACGAAGAAGAAAAAAACGCAACGCCAACGGCCAACGGCGCAAAGTCAGCCAATCCCTCTACTCCATCCAACCTGCGGGAGGACGCAGTGGAGACGGATCATGGTCATGGCCTCGAGGTCTGTGTGCCAGTCAGTGCGGGCTGCGTCTCGGTATGCAAGGTACCAGGGGTAAAGAGGGTGGGAAATGGTAAGAATATTCGGATACAAGTGTGCTGAGTACAATAGCCCAAGAGACAAGACTGGTGTGATGAGACAATGAGAAATCATTGGTGAGGATAGAGAAGAAGAAAGCGTTGTAGAAACCTGGCCAAGAATGATGCACTTTGATCTGTGAGCGCCTCTGCCGCCCAGCACCATCCTCTGGTGTCTCGGACAGGAACGGCTTTAGCTCTGGCTCTGTATCCGCGAGATACGCGATCGCTAGAATCTTCGTAAAGCTGGGGATTGGGGAAAAATAAAAGCGCGCCTTTCACCTGTCTTGAAATCCATTAAAGCGGTATACGAGGTTGTTCCTGGGCTCCCTTGCTTGCTTGTACTTCGTACAGCAGGATCCTGGTGATCAAAGACGGATCGGCCCTGGTCCGTCTCGACTCTCGAACAGCTCAAGACAAACAAGCTAGCTCCATCTGGATCATTGTCGTTGTCCTGAACGGAAAATACGCAGAGTCTCAACGGGTAGCCTCCGAGGACTGTGTCGTATTTTCCTCCACGCTGCTTGACGTCTTCAGGCCCTTGTACATTTGGAAGCGCGGAAACGATTGCAAACTGTATGTCCTGTTGATGGAGGTATCGCAGAAACCGGCTTTGATGTTTGCCGTCAAGTGCGACGTCCAATATCAGACCGGAAATGAGCCCTGTCGCCGAAGTTCTGGCCCATTGAGGCAGGCTCTGTCACTGATGGCTCGCAGAAACGGCCAGGTCTCATCTCGAAAATAGCTAGTAGCGGACAGTTATTGCCAAATGGGGATTAAGCAATATCATTCCAAAGAGTGACACTTCAAAAGAAGGTGATGCAAATGCCGATTGTTAACGTTTCGTCACTCATTCGCCACAAGATGCCACCGACCCAAGTTCCTGCTCGCTCTGGAACGCCAGAGTGCCGTGTAGACCGTTGAATCCACAGATAGTTCGTGGAAGGGTCTGGGAAATTGGGACTGAGGAGATAGCGATGCGTGGCTAGGTGCGGATAGTTACTCAATCGAGCCGCCGTCCGCAGTACGCCAGGATCATTCATGGCTCGATATGCACTAGAGCTCCTCAATTCCAAGTTCGAGTTTCTGCGTGAACAACGCCCGCCTTCAATCCGCGTCGCCCTTGCAGGAGACCCGATGAGGAGGCCTTGATAGCGATGACGCCAGGCCAATCACTGACAACCACGACGAAAGAACAGCGGGTCGTTTCAGCGCAGCTCCTCTGAGTGAAGACGGCATGTCTAATTGGACTGTGGTGTGTCTCGCTGGGTAGTGCTGATTTCCCCGCGTTGTGGTGTTCCTTTTTCTTTTTTCCTTCTGCTGCCTCTCACGCCTCTCAACTGTCCCGACCTGGCCATGGCAGACTGCATATCGAGCTGGGGTGGAAAACGCCATTACCATAATACCAAGGGGTGTTGGCAGACTGAAGCTGAAATGCTGAAGGAAGGATGATTCGGGCGTCCATGGAGCCGGTACGGCGAAACGGCCGCGGTTTGCTGAGAATGATACACACCACAGTTATCAATGATGACTGCCATCTCATCCCCATCCCAGGGCATCCCGAGTCTAGGCCCAACTATCGAGCGACACCACCTCGAGTGTGGTGCTGTTTTACTGGCCTGGCGTCTAGTGTCGTCGGCTGGCGTGGTGTGGCGATGGCAAGCCAGCAGGGCTTCTTGACTCGCTCACCGCTTCGGGTACAAGACGGACGTGGGGGACCTGGGCTTCGGTGACCTGGGCGTCCCAAGTTCGAAGCGGCCGGCGCCAGAGATGACCGGTCACAAAATTCTGGTGCGAAGTTTCGTTCTGAATGCCAACTCGGCCCTGGCTCTCGGCCGGCTTCGTTTCCAGAATAGTTCACGACGGAGTACGAAGTAGATGGCTGTGGCTCCGCGCCCGCCCCGCAACCAATGCCCGCCGATTTTGAGGTTCTGTAGCACGACAACGGGCTGAGAAAGGGGCCATCGCAGACGATGAGCAGAGCCATGCATGCCAGTCCAGTGCATTGCAGGCCAAGCGCAGGGCATGTGCAGCCAGAGATTCTCAAGATGGCAGAGAGAGCCGGTGAGATGGCTGGGTGGCTGCGTGGGACCTATTACGGGCAAAAGCAGCACGGGACGAGCTGTCATTGATGTTGTGTCTCGTCAGATGGCTGCGAGCCTGCGACAGGCGTGGCCAGTGATGAGGCCTACGCGCTGCAAGGATGTGGGGATTTTGACAAGGCCCCCCGGGCGATGGACAAATTGCTTGCATGGAAGCGAGTGAAGGGCCGCAGAGGGGATCTGTGGATTGAGGTCTGAGATGCCATCACAGTCGCATCCGTATCCGACGTTGAGAGTTGAGTGCCAACGTAGGGATCGTGTACTTCGTAGAGAGCACTGGAGCGAGCGTTGCAGAAGCCAAGGCGGTTGGACTTGCACTTGCACAATTGCACTTCCCTCGAGGGCATGTAGAGTCGGGTTGCAGTCGCAGTCGGGAACTGTGCGCCGAGTGGCATCTGGCTTGTCCACCGAGCTTCACCTGTGCCCTCGAAATACCTTAGCGGGCGGTAGGTGGCTAGGATGAAATGGTCTGTACTTGGAAGTGGTCTAGCTCTTGCTCAAGAACAGGCGCAGCACCACGATCTTCCTGAGGTAGCGTGCTACAGGTGCGTGTTCGCAGGTTCTGGCACGGCCGTTCTTGGTCGTACCGTAACGGACCGGACGTTGGGTGTCCGAAAATACATACAGTCAGTGATGACGGGTGGCGATGGGGACTGAAAGGTTGCGAATGAGGTCTGTGGTGGACTTGGCTAGGAACGGTGACTGCCACACGTGAGCAGGCGTTGATGTGTGAGTTGATTGACGCTTGATGGATTGGATGGCTCGAGGTGAAGACATTCGGCGTTGTATTCGAGGGTGGTTGGCGGCGGAGGAAGACGGGATGAGATGAGGAGACCAGGAAAATTACCTAACTGTCCAAGGTACGTACCGCATGGAGGAGACGTCGACGTCGAGACGGGAGCGAGTGGGGCATCTCAGACTTAGAGTATGTACGAGTACGTACCCATGACTAAGGAACGGGACGTACCCATGCTCAACGCTCCCCTTCCTTCTCCTTCCCGTCTCCTCACCTCACCGGGCTACGGAGTACATAAGGTACCTAGGTAGTAAACCTCACCTTTGCGGTTACCTTACCTAACCCTACCTTACCCTTTGCTTACCTTGCCTTGCATTGCCTGCCCATATATCCTTCTTACCTTACCTAGAGTTACGACTTGGATCGTTTTAGACGCGGTGGACTTGGCACTTGCACCATAGTCGGCAAGGGCATACCGCCTTCTTTGTTTCTTTTTCTTTCCGTTTGTGAACAAATGAGGCTTGTTTTAGTGGCCTGCAACCGCTGCGTCCGTGTCCTCCATCCTCGACACCTACACGTGTGTTCGTAGTATCTACGATTCGCGAATACCCAGGTACCTTGCTTGCCGCAGGTAGTAGTCGTGGGTACAATTAGTGTACCGTAGGTTAGTGTGGTAAGGTTCCTTGGCTTCACGATGGAACCAATCATGACTCTGCTGCAAAGATTCAATGTTGCAAAGAACGCGGGATTCCGGCTTGGGCTGGATAAGCAGTTGCCGTTTGTTTCCGCCGTCAAAACTTGGTCAGGTAAGAGAGATGGGCTGTGTCTGCACAATTGAGTTTCAAAAAAATGCTACCAATCGCCCAAATTAGAAGCATTTGAGTCCTCCCATCTCCGGACCGAGCATCACCCGCAGCAGCAGGATGGCATCCAACAAGACTCGAGATGGATCCTGGATTGCTTCGCTGCAGGATGCATGCTGTGCTGTGCTGTGCTGTGCTGTACTGTACACTCTGGTCGTTGTACCGTTGCATTTCGCATTTTTGCAGGCTCTGCTTCTCCTCTTCCCCCTCCTCTCCCCCTCTCTCCAGCCTCTCTCCCAGAGTTCCCCTCCCCCGTCCCAGCCCAGGTGCCTGCGTACTAGAATCTGCATGAGATCTATCTTTTCACGTTGCAGCCGGGGTCTGACCTTTTTCCGTGCTGCACCTCGATGGAATGGGGCAGCTACAGGGACAGAGGCACAGAGGATGGTCTCACTCAATCCCGATGCCCATTACAATCCCAGCAACATCACGGTGCACAGCAGCCAGGGCACCTAATCCTACACCCACCATGGTTTCTTCTCCTCCGTTCCTTTCCAATAGCCCGCCTGCAGCTTGCCGACTAGGCAGTTGTCTATCCTCAAATGTTTCCTCTGTGGAGGTTGCGGAGATGGAGGAAGAGAGGGGAAAAGATGATCATGCTCTCCGTCACTTACAAACCAACCGTTCTAAACTTACAGTGACCATGAAGCCAGCCTGCCTCTGCTTATCGTGGCTCTGCTTTAGCTCAGCCCGGAGGAAGCGGGCTTCTCGATGCTCATTCGCCCTTCCGCTTCAACACCATTCCTCAAGCCCCGGTGTGTTCCTGGGTCCTCCTTAACTAACCCATGTGCATGGCTGGGTCCTGGAAGAGCCCCCTCCATTAACGGCCACGAACCTTTGGTCAGAAATCAGCGCAGAACCACATGGCACCATCCAGGCCATACAATCCGCTCTCTGGGAACCCAGCTTGGGCAGCTTCACATCAAGCCTGCTCAGTGTCTCCCCATGCTGACCGGACGTCGAAACAGACAACTGGTCAGAGCAATTAAGATGAGGCTGTTTAGGCTGCCCGGATGCCTGTAAGTGTACGAGGAAAGAAAAAGCTCCGAGAGGATCGGTCGGTGTCTTGGTCGACCCGACAAAACAAGCCCTGTCTTTCTCCCTCTCTCTCCGAGTCTGTCTCTCCCGGTTCCGACTCCGACTGCCTCCACAGTCCACACGTTGCGATCCGGCGATGGTGACAGCCGCGCTGCATCCGTGGACTCGTGTCGTTGGATTTCGATGTTGATGATCCTTGATGGGTTGTCACTCTAACTCATCCTCAGTCGTTTGTTTCGAACCTAGATTCTATCTATTCTTTCCCTTCTGCCATCCCACCTCGTTCTCGTCATCGGCATCCCGAAAGCCCTTGTGCAACCAATCGATTGCAGACGGATAGATCAGGAAACAACGTACACAAACTGCCCTGATGGACGATACCGTCCCTGGACCTTGTCTTCTGGGTGTATGGTGTAGTGTACACTCCACAGTTTGTGTGTGAGAGGGAAAGAAAGTGTGTGTTGCCATACCTGACCGGACTTTACCTGACGTAAGGTAAGCTTCCGTGCCTGACCTGAGAGACTAGAGTGGAAGAAGGTCCAAGTCTGTCCTTCCACGTTGCTATTCCCAGCCTTCTCCCGATGCCGCCATGATCCTCTCAGGTCTTCTTCCACGTCGCTCACCTGTCCTTCTATCTGATCCAACACCAACGCCAACACCGCAGCCAACGCCGGTACACCGATATCAGCACCAAGCATCAAGAACCAAGCACCAGCACCGACACCAACAGCAGCATACCGCTTATGCCAGGCTAGCCAGTCCCATCCAGCCAAGTCAAAATTTAGAAACATCACAACGTCCTCCAATGGCTACCCGCAGACGCTCAGGTACCGCAGGACGCCATGCACACTAGACACAGACACACAACACACGCTCCCTCATTCACACACCCCTCTTTTCCTCTCGTCTGCTCACCCCCCTGTTCCTGGTCCTGTTCCTGTTCCTGTTCCTGTTCCTGAGTCTCTTCCACTCACCTCTCTCTCTCTCTCTCAGTCTCAACTCTCAACTCCTCACAATTCTCCCGCTCAGAAGCCAAGGCCTTCACCCGCCGGCCCTCGTCTCGTCTTCTTGTCTTCACCCCCCCCCCCCTCCTTGTTCATGGACCCCGACACACAACTCAACCTCCGAACGCTCCACCCAGAGATCCACCTATCCACTGTCTTGAACCTGATGCGTTGTGTGCAGCTCGGTTCGTTCGTTTCTTCCCACTCGTCACGGACGGTTTCTCTTGACCACAGACACCACCACACTAGGCACAGGAACCCGCAACTGACCACCACCATTCTCTTTGGCTCTTCTCTCACACATTCTCACGCACACACACACACACACGCACTTACTCGCTCTCAGCTTCTCGCCTCCCCCCTCCTCCTACACACGCGCACACCACACTAAAGCATCTCGACATCCTGTCCTGCATCACGGATCATGGCCACACCCCCGGAAAGGCCCCATAATATCCTTGCGGGATTATTCACATGCCGTCGTTCCCAAGCGGGTGCACGGTTGTACAGCTTATCCCTACCCTGTCTCTCAGTCTCTCCAAGCACACTCTTCCTCGTCGTACGGAATAGGTATGCACCAAGTTGTGTGTACATGTCTATGTGCGTGGTGTATCCGCACATCGTAGCTGCGTGGCTGCAAAGGTGGCCCAAGGTGCCACCGCCCGTCAATCTTTACATCGTTTCCATGTCAGTGCTGCCGCAAGTGCCGCATCCAAGGAACCAGGTGCTCTCTACTACGTTTCCCACCCCTACATGGCAGCTATATACATAACCCCAGGACAGCCGCCCACTATCTTCTGTATTCGATCTCCGCGAGCCTCTCTTCCTCGTCTCCAACCCTTCCCCTTCCCTTACTTGAAGGTCTCCAGCATCAACCGGCTCCCAACGTCAATCTTGGAGTCGTGGAACCTGATCTCTGGTCTGGTTTGTCTGTCATCCTGACCTGGTGCCGAGATCATTCACCCAAACTGTTTGTCACCCTTTCCTATAATCTCTTATTTTCCTTGAATGTCTATTTGTCGGTTTGTTCCTATTACGGAAGACCCTAAAAGCCCAGTGGTGCAAGTTGTACATGGCGCTCGGCAACATTTGAACACTGGCTTGTAATACGAACATTGGGTTGTTCCATTTGTTATATCGGGCTGGCCCATCCACGCCGAAACGGCATATAATACCTACTGGACGATGTCGACGACGAAACTGCTCTCAACGGTGGTTTGGCTTTCCAGCCTCTCGTTACCTACCAGAGCCTTGGATCGAAGAGACGACTTTACCGATTTCGAAACTGAGGAGGAAAGACAGGGCAAGGGCAAGGGCAAAGGAAAAGGAAAGGGAAAAGGCAAAGAAGGCGTACCGAATGTTCCCGTCACGACACCCGGACTCGACGCCCTGCCTACAACCGGAACCGATCCTACGCCTGTCCTCGGGCCTGGGACAAACAATGGGGATCCAAACAATCCCAACAATGGAGGTGTGACCTGGCTCAACCCTGGCACTGAACACTCAGTCTGCGATGCCTTCACCCATCTGCCGTTTTTATCACACCGACGATCTCATCCGAGCCCCCGCCTTACCTCACCTGACTGACTCTTTGGACACCTCCGGACATTTTCTTTCCGTTTTGCTCTCACTTGACTTACATATAAATTGGATAAAGAGCTAACGCATCTTCACAGCACCTCCCCCTAACGAGGAACCGCCCCCTCCTCCGGAAAACCCTCAGGTCCCGGAAAACCCTCCAAATCAGGATCCCCCTCCACCCCCTCCCCCACCAGAGGAACCACCGCCGCCGCCGCCTCCTCCAGAAGCGCCTGCTCCTCCGCCTTCGCCTCCGTCTCCGCCTCCGTCTCCCCCGGCGCCTACCACCACCTCGGTTGAGAGTCGAAGGCCAACGACAACTCCACGATCTAGTCCCGTAGTCTCAACTTCGAGACCTCCGGTGCCATCTGTCTCGTCTTCTCCAACCCCAATTCGCTCGTTTCCTCTACCGGTCTTTTCACAGCCGAGTGCACCCCCACCAAACTTTCCCCAGCCGTTTCCACGACCAAGCTCAACACCAAAGCTTCCTCAGTCAAGCTCAACGACATCTCTTATTGTTGTACTTCCGCCGCCAACTTCAGCTCCACTGACCACGTTGCCGCCACCTGCTCAGCCGACTGATGCTGGGAACAGGAGTTCAAACCTCCCGGCGCCAGCTGCACCAAGCTCAACCTCTTTGACTGACCAGCACGGCGCCATGAGCGGAAATAAATCGCAGGGTATTGAGGGCAACCGTGGCCTTGTGGTTGCTCTGAGCACTGTACTCTCTGTGCTTGGAGTGATCATTATTATCGGGGCCATCTTTCTCTGCTACCGTTACCGCCGTGGCCGCATGCCATTCAGCCGCCGGGGCAATAGCCCGATTGATGATGAGGAGATCGAATCGTGGAAGGCCTGCAGGACAATTGAGAAATGCACGACCGTGGTCGTGGATAAACATGACTCGGCTGGTTCTATTCGCAAGCCAGCCAGCGTGATCGTCTATCAAAATCACAACCAGCACCAGCCGCGCCCTTCAACGGATACCGCACCTCGCTCTCTGTATCACAAGCGGAGCATGGACAAGAAGAGTATTGATATCCCTCAAACTCCCGTTCTCGCACGAGCCCCAAACGCCCGCGTTGGCCTCACTGACGACGCCGTCGAGGGTGACCTCGCCTTCCTTCCATCCCCCAAGCGACAGAACTCCAGACTGTCCAAGTTGCCGTCCCCTCGTCATGGCAGACATCGCAGCTCTCGCAGCAGCGCGAGTGTCGGTAGTCTGCGCGAGCATTGGTATGGCTACCACACCGACACAGAAATGTCTCCCCGCCCTTCGGTGGACCCTTACTCCCGGATGCCTTCTTCGGCACACTCGGATGGGAGGCATCAGCGGGTTTACTCGTCTCCCTCGAACCCTCCGAGGCTTTCACTTGATGAGGAATATCACATGGGTGGCCTCTCCCCACGCCCTTTCCTACGGCAATCAGAAATTGGTCTTGCCGTAGGCTGAAGTTACGATTCACGATTCTACGCCGGTCTATGAGATTTCTCTAACGCCGAGCCTTGTCTTACAACCTACCTTTACGATTCTTGCAGGAAATCCTTCGCAACGAACCCTGCGGATGACAGGAGCACGCCACACGCTAGGCTACGACATTCGTTTCAGCCCTCGCGCTCTTCCCGCGGGACTGGAGAGAAGTGCGGGGTGTGCTATCGCGCGGGACTTTTTGTTTCATGTCCCGATGGATGGCAGCATATCTCAACTCCCCATGTGGCTTAACACCATCACGAGGGTGGTGGGTGAGGCCAGCTGTATTAAACTCAGAATGGAAATTCATGGCTCAACAACCCTCCCCGCCACCATTACTCTTCGGGCTTTCTTCGCGATGCCCTCTTCACAGTGGCACGCAAGGCTCGGCGGACGCATTTGATGCGACCCAACTCCCCTCTTATGTTCCTCTTAAGTGAGCGAGCATCATAACGCTTGATATTGCTACATCTAGCAAGAAGCTTCGATGTCTGAAACGACATCTTTTTTTCCCTTTAATGGTGGCTCATTGGAGTCACTCATGACGGAATGGTGATGGATATACCCACATGACAAACGGTCTACTTGAAGCTGCAACGCAGTCCATTTTCTATATTTAAGTCTCTAAATACTTCGCCGGGCAACTAAACTTAGCCCCGAAACAAATTCAAATACAAGCCATATACCAAAGTTCCACGGTCTAGATCTCAACGTGATTTGCGCGATGTATATGAACCCGAGGTGAACCGCGCCGGTGGCAATATGAAGTCGTGGCTTCAATGGCGCCGACTACTCTGAGAGGCCACAAGGAAGAGGTTGTCACAATGTTAGAACGGAAGCTTTTTGCGTGCGCGAACGATAGAGCAGAGCGCGGTTGCTCTGCTCACCATCCCATCTTTAGGCGGCAACCCTCACATCGACGTCGGCCACGCTGCTGACAAGACCCAAAAGTTCCCAAGAATCGCTGGTGAAACGCGGAACAAGGAGCATGGGGGTGAGAGGTGGTACTAGGTACTCCCACCTCAGCAATCTGAAAGAAGAGAAGGAGACCTTTCAACACAAATAGGTGCCGGGACTTGACTGACTGACGGGCGGGAGGGAAGGGGAGGGGAGGGGAAAAAGAAAAGCAAGATTTCGTGGCCAAGGTTTCGATGACACTCTGGTGTCGTGTTCATGGTTTTCCGTTCTTGCTCGCCGTGCCCCCCTCTCCCCTCCCCTACCACGGCGCTGACCACATTGCGACACCTGCCATCCCAGGATGACGGGCACGATGGCAGGCGGGACAGGTGAAACGCGAATGCTCTTTTTTCTTCTCCTTCCCCGCCGCGGCGCCGGCGTGGGTGTTGCAACACAAAATTGGCACATCGGGGACGAACGCGAACCGACGGGAGGAAGTCTGGAAGAAGGGCGGGGAAGATGTCCGGTCGTGGGTGTGGGGGCTATGAGGTGATGAGGTGAAGGATTCGTCTTTGACTTTTGAGTGGTGTCTTCGCATTTAGATACAGACACCTGAGATGCTTCTGTGCGTCATATTTGATTGTCACAACTTTTGGTTGGTGAATGCCACTATCGACTTGAAGGAATCGGATGGAAGTTCGTGAAGAGGGCTGCGGCGTGTCGTGTGTATTTGTCGGTTCATCATTACCCAGAGCGAGTTGGTATACTTATACTCGCGACCGTACAGTTCTTTCATTCCATCTTCTTTGCTTGGTTTGTATTATTCCCTTCGTCGTGATGTGAATTTCATTCGTTCGGGGAAAAGGAAAGCTGTCCATCTTCGGAGCTATCGGGGGCAGCTGAATGGAGATAGACTCCTCATCCCTCGGATGTTTCTTACTTTTCACATATTTTTTTTCCCTTTCGAGTCTTCTGACACCTGTCATGACGTTTTTTTTTTAGGTGTAGTTCACCTCGGTTTCTGATGACTGGACACTTTTCTCCGCGTGCGCGCGTCTTCGTCGTGTCATATCTGCGGGTTCACGATTTATTTCGGATGTTTGCGGGGAGAAGGGAGAAACATGGGAAGCAGGGGGAGGTGTATGGAGGCGAATTTCCGAGCTTTGGGAGTGTGCAATGATTCTAGATTCGTAAGTTGGGGCAGGACAAATCGGGGACGGGGGTTACGGGAGGTGTAGTGTGAGCTGCGAATAGCAGGGTCAGGGAAGATGCGAGATGTCCTGCCATCCCGCTGCTATTGGGATGTGCGTTGATGGTTGTAATGGAGATGGGTGGTGATGTGACTTGAGTTCCGTCGAACAATGTTGGCAGGCCGAGGTCAGTGTTGTAGATGGATTTGTGTAAAGATATCGGTCATTCTTCTTGGCTATCTTGCCATCGAAGAA